CTCTTCTCTCTCTCTCTCTCTCTATCTATCTATCTATCTCTAGGTAACGATGATACATTTTGCCTCACATTAACACTATACAAAGTCCCATGTCAACTATCACTACACTCTGCCAAAACCTGATACAAGTAATTCCTTTAATTAATTCCCTTAATGAGCTAAAGATAAACAAACAAAATACCGAACAAATTTAAGAGAAAAAAGGAAAAGAGGCAGCTATTTGCTAAAGATAAAAAAAAAAACTATTGAGCAAATTTAAGAGAAAAAAGACAGTTAGTTGCTAAAGATTAAAAAAAAAAAAATATTGAACAAATTTAAGAGAAAAAAAAAGGACAGCTATTTCACCGACATTACCATCAAGCCGACCTTGCTATTGATAACTGCCATTCCCTCAACGCTGTCACCTTCAGAGAGAGACGAGCGACGGACAGCTGCCTCGGAGGAGTAGCAGGGTTGAGGGTGACAAGTGCCAGCGCCCGATTTCCGTTGGCTCTCTGGACACGGCGGCGTACCCTGATGGAATCGAACCGCTGCCCCGCTACTGTGGGAGATTGATACGCTCGGTGTAGGGAGAAGAACAGCGGTGAAGGTGTGTATCTATTTTTTTTTTTTTTTTTTTTTTTAAGGGTTTTTTTAAGGTTTGGTTTTTTAAGGGTTTGAACTCAGTTTTTTAAGGGTTTTGTCACAGTTTTTTTTTTGGTTTTTTTTTTTTCAACTCAGTTTTTTTAAGGGTTTTGTCAACTCAGTTTTTTTAAAGGTTTTGTCAACTTTTTTTTTTTTCCTTTTTTTTCTTTTTTTTAGTTTTGTCAACTCTTTTTTATGGTTTTTGTTAACTCCTTTTTTTTAAGGGTTTTGATCGCTCTTTTTTTCTTTTTTAAGTTTTTGTTTTTCTTTCGTTTTTTCTTTTTTTTTTCTTTTTTCTTTCTAGGGGGGGAAGGGAAGGAAAGAAAGGGAGATAGGGGAAGGGAGGGAGAGAGAGAAACAGAGATAATGGAAGGTAGGGAAAGAGGAAGAGAAACAGAGATAGGGTACGAAAGGGAGGGAGAGAAACGGAGATAGGAGAAGAGAGGAAGGGAGAGGTTGCACATTCAATATCTAAATCAAAGACCCATTATTCTTTATGTCTATGCATCAACATAACCTAACGGCGCCATTGCAAACCCATCCTTTAAGAAAAGAGAAGAGAAAATAACCACAATCTGAATTACACTACGAAAAGAAAGAAAAAATCAAAACAAAACAAAACAAAAAGAAAACGTTGATAAAAGCTGATAAAAGAGCTCACAAAATAAACCTATTTTTACTTTCCACTTCATCCTCTGCGTCCGAGATGACTGTCATGTCAAACTTTCGCTAGAGAAATGACAGCTGTCAAACCTCTGCTGACAGAACACGTGACACTTCTCTAGGATGATGGTGTGTGAGCGCTCGGTGTTGTACAGGAGAGAAGAGGAGATGGAAAGGAAATGGGCGATAAACGAGGAGAGAGGGGGAAAGAGAGGAGAGAGAGAGAGAGAGAGTGGAAAAGAGGAAATAGGTAATAGCGAAATGGAAGAAGAACTGTGAAAGAGAGGGAAGATAGATAGGACATAGAGTGCCAGGGAAAAGGAACGCCTCTACAAAGCAAGAAATATAATAAACACATACACGTATGTATATATATACGTACATACATTCACACACACAGACACACACCATCACGGAAAGACAAACAAATGCGTACAGAGAGATAAAGAACCAGACCGACATGCAATTTATACAAGAAAAAAAAGGGAGATATACTGTAAATGGAAATATTTTTTTTCTTCTTTTTTTCTCTCTCTCTCTCTTATTCCCTTTATGATCGTCACTCGAAGGCAATAGAGCTGTCACGACCCTAAAAGGACCTATCACCTTCAACATTCCGTTTTTTTACACGGGGGGGAAGGGGGAGGAAGGGGAGAGGAGAGGGGGTGGAGGGGAGGGGAGAGAAGAGAGAGAGAGAGGAGAGAGAGAGAGAGAGAGAGAGAGAGAGAAGAGAGAGAGAGAGAGAGAGAGAGAGAGAGAGAGAGAGGGAGGGAGGGAGGGAGGGAGATAATAGGTAGATAGGACAGATATATAAATAGAGATAAAAAGAGAGAGGGAGAAATGGGTAGATAGAAAGATAGACACACACACACACACACAACACACACACACACACACACACACACACATATATATATATATATATATATATATATATATATATATATATATATATATATATATATATATATATATATATATATATGTATGTATATATGTATGTATGTATGTATGTATGTATGTATGTATGTATGTATGAATGTATGTATGTGTGTATGTATGTATGTATGTATGTATGTATGTATGTATGTATGTATGTATGTATGTATGTATGTATGCATGTATGTATGTATGTATGTATGAATGTATTTATGTTTGTATGTATATACATAAAGTGCGCTTGTATTGTCGTCCTATCACATATTATCGGTTACTTGCGCGCAGCGTGTATAGACATGAGGCTAAGCACCTTTTTACTCCCAGTTCTTTCTCTCTCTAGATACTGTTTTTATTCCAGCTGATTCATCTAGCAATGATGATGATAAAATAATCGCGTAGAAATAACGTTTCCTGAAACTGACACGATTAATCTATCGTTTGTATTACAATCAAATTGCAAAAGATAATTATTTCGGGAGCAGTTTTACAGTAATTTGTTATTCATAACATTTTCAGCGATAATTTTCAGTGATGGTAAGTGCATAGCTATGCAATGCAATCATGCAAACAGCTCGAGAGGGATAACAATGATGAAATAATAATTACGGTGAATATTCATGGCGGTGATAATAGATTTAATGGCATCAAAATACCAAAACGAAATTGATAATGAAATGCCAGTGAGTCAGAATATCCATTTTCAAGTATGTATCAGGCTAAACAAAGCCATTACTTAAAAAAAAAAAAAAAAAAAAAAAAAAAAAAAAAAAAAAAAAAAAAAAAAAATTATGATAAATATCAACACGAACTGAAGTCACACATTTATCTCAGGATATTAAAAGATAATGATCATGCTAAGATAATGATAAGATAATGATCACGATTATGGCAATGATAATCACAGTAATTATAATGGCAGTGATGATTTTATAGTAATTACAATTATAAGATAAGGATAATGATAATAAGATAATAGTGATAACAATAATGATAATAACAATGATGATATTAGCAATGATGATGATAATGCTGATAGCAATAACTATGGAGATAATGATAATAATTATAATTGTCATAACAGTAGCAATGATGATAATGTTAATAACAAAAATAATAAAGACAACAGTGTTGGTGATAGTAATGAGAATAACAAAAAATATAGATTATGATTATGATAATGATGATGGTAATAATAGCAATAACAGAATACTGATGATGAAGATGATGATAATGAAAATCATTATAATGTTAATACTGATACTACTACTACTATTACTGCTATTATATACTGCTGCTGCTATAGATAATAATGATCATAAAATTGATGATAGGTGATAGTGATGATAATAATAGTAGTAGCAACAATGAGAATAGTAATAACAACAATAATAATGAAAAATCATGAAAAAATAGTAATATTGATTATGATAATATAATAATAATGATGATGATAGTAATAATAATGAATTGATGATATTGCTAACAAAGATGATGATTATAATAACAACAATAAATATGATATAATAATGACAATAATACTTGTAGTTATAATCATTGCCATAATTACGATGAATACAATATTGATGATAAGAATGATAATAAGAGATATGAAAATGGTGTTAATAAAAATAAAGAAATGGTAATAACGAAAAGAAAATAGTTATAGTAATGATGATAAGAATTATAATAACAACAATGATAGTAACAATAATGATGATATTAATAATGATAGTAAAACAATGAAAATCATAATGATAATAATGATAATGATAATAATTATGACAATAACAATATTAATAATGATAATGATAATAATGATAATAGTGATAATGATAACAACAACAATGATGATTAAGAATGAACAAACAGATAAAAAGATAGACAAATCAAAATAAAATTGACTCATGCTCTTTGAATAAAATAGTTTAAGCAGACTGTTAAAAAAAGAGTTAGCGGACACACCGTCATCCATTAATTTTTCTAAAGTTTACTACCTTTATCACACCATCAAAATAAAATCTGACTC